TCCTCTTTTTAATATTTATTTCTTAATAAGTTAATATCATAATAGCAGGATTAGAACTAATAAAGAGAAATATCCAGACCTCTGTGACTAACATGCAGAGGCTAACGAAACAAGATTAAGAGAAAATGAGCTGGTATTTTTTCTTTGGAAAATACAACATTTTTGCATTCCTCTCTTGCTTTATATTTTGCCGTGAAGTTTTATCAGAAGGACGTACAGAATGTGGTTCATCATTCATACCAAACACTAGTGTGGACTATAGGGCAGTCACCTGTGCACAGGGGTAATCAAAACAGTTGATTGGACGGTAAAATCTGAGCAAGGCATGTCCTTTGGATGTCTCTGCAACTTTTATGATGTATTAGGGCTTTGTCTCTAGTCTTTAGACACTCTAAGACAGTAAGCATTAAGGTAAGAAAAAGTTTGGCACAGTCAAAAGCTAAAGCATTTTAATGTGGTATTTTAAAGATTTAGAGGCTTCTAAGAAAAAGAAGTAGAAATTTTGCAAATAAAAGAATTTAGCAGCAGACTTGTCTGTTACTTGTATGAAAAGTCACTGAAAACTGAGAATTATTAAAAAGATGAATTCCTTAGGACAGGAACCTTACCTCCTTATCTCTGTGTAAGTGTGCATGTAAAAATAAAAGTAAACTAACCTTTGAAGAAGGAAAAAGCAGAGACAAGATGTCTGTGTATGATTCCAAGGTACCTAAAAATACAATAGAAGAAAACAGGAGCATATTATTCACTGAAAAAAATGAAAACTTAATTTAATGAAGCTCTTCATTAGCTGAGAGAATGAGTTAAATAGTTAATTCAATTAGAATTCTTCATTTTAGCTGTCTTATTAACTAGGTCATAGCAAGGAAATATATGGTCATATGGAAACAGAAATCTGCTCTAGTAAAAATATAGTTTTAAAAGTATATATTTTTACCTGTGAGGTACATTTTGGTAAACAGTAAGAAAAATAGGCCAGAGTGCCCTATATTCTATATTCACATTTGACATATGTGTTTAGATCTGAGATGAACGATCTTCCTGAAATTCAGCTAGTGGGAGAGACTCCATATGTGGCATCAGAATAGCACATATATTTATTGTCAGAACTATATGTAAGCCTACTGTGACATGGTGGTTTTTTTTTTCCTTTTCTTTGAAGGGAAATATCTGGGAACAAATTCTGAGAATACCCTTTCTCCTGGAAATAATTAATGCTGTCCCTTTCATCATCACGGTAAATGTATTTGAATTAATACATTTGCACATTGCACTTCTATAGCTGCACAAATACTCTTAATTTTTATTGAAGTACATTTGAATCTTATGTGGAGGACAAATTTGTGCCTATGGGAACAGAAATTTGTCAACAACAAGGAGATAGTTTGCTACTTGAATGAAGTAATAATACAGATTACTTTCCCCTTGCTCTCTGATAGGGGACAACCAAAACCAAAACCCTCTACACAGTCAATAAAATAAATCAGCTCGATAGAAAAACCTAAGAATCTCTGGTCTCTGCACTGAAAAATGACTGTCCTTATTTTATCAAATTAGCTTATGTACAGTTCATTAGAAAGGAAGAAAAATGTTATTTAAAGCCATATCTCACACAAGAAACATATTTATAATAAGTATTTTTCCCAAGTATTTCATTGCTGCTTGAATAGAAAAGCTTTTAATGAATTTGGTAATTTTTCTTTCAGATTTTCTGGCCAGTCCTAAGAAACCTGTTTATTCCTGTATTTTTAAATTGTTGGCTCGCAAAGCATGCTTTAGAGAATATGATTGTAAGTATGACAAAGAAATAACTATTTTAGAGTTTATACTTTTTTAGTATATTATTTTTAGTGGGATTTTGGCAGTACAGTCCATGGTCCAACTTTAATTGGAAGCTAACCAGATCTGTATTTAGATCATACAAATGGTCAAGCATTGCTTTTTGCATCAAAATTAGAAAAAATTAAGATGTCAAGTGAAATCTCAATTAGTGCAAATTGTTACTGTGCCAACAGGGAAAAGTTGGAATTTGCTACTCTTCCATTCATACACAATTGCAGGGAACTCAACTGCTATGCCTTAATTGGTCCTTGCAGCCTGTAATTTGTAAGCTAGACATGAGCAGACAGACCTTAAGGCAGCTTGCAATAGTATCAGAATTGTGCCACGATGAACAAAGAACTAGTTAAATAATCACAGAATCACAGCTGGCTCTTTTGCACACTTCTATATGATCAGCAAATTCCAAGTGCATTTGAATGACTGCATTTTATCAGGGCACTATATAATTCCTCTATATAATCAGCTCATGCATTATTAATTCAAAACCAAAAATAACACCTATTTTCCGTTAATATAGAATGATCTTCACAGAGCCATCCAACGCACACAGTCTGCGATGTTTAACCAAGTCCTCATTCTAATATCTACCTTACTATGCCTTATCTTCACTTGGTAAGTTGCCAAAACCCCTTTGTTTTTATTATATATGTTGGCTTTTCTTCCTTTACTACATGATGATAAAACAGGCATTGTGGAAATCATGGATTGAAATAAAAAGAGTAATATAGTTGAAGTGAAAATGTTAACTAGCACCTGGTACTACTGGGGTCCTGATACACTTGGTTTGGAATCAGAATGTGCATGCATGGGAAAGGGAATAATTCTCACTCTAAGGAAGGAAATACAGATGATGCAAAAACACTGAAGAACTGGGGGAAAATTTACATATGTAGCAAGAGCGCAATCTCAGCAGAAAAGGCACTCAAATTTGAAGAGTACCAACAGAAGTACCTATACTTAGGTCACCTTCCTCTGACTGGTGGGACAGGGAAAAATATGCAGGATCTCATCCTTATCACTCTGATGACCATGTCAGGTTCCCATAAGGAATACAGGGGACAGCTGTTAACAATTATTATGGTTTAACCAGAGAGGAGTTAAATACCACACAGCTGTTTGCTCACTCCCTGCCTAGTGAGATAAGGGAGAGAAGCAGGAGCAAAAGAAAAAAAAAAAAAGGTAAAACTCATGGGTTGAGATAAAGACAATTTCACAGGACAAAAAAGGAAAGGGTGACGATGATGATGATAATAATAATAATAGAAGGAAAGGATAATAATAACAACAATAACAAAAATGATGCACAATGCAATTGCTCATTAACCACTGATTGATTGCCAACCAGTCCCTGTGCAGCGGTCCCTCCCCACCCCCCCACAAACTCCCTCCCAGTTATATGCCAAGCATGATGTCATGTAGTATGGAATATCCTTGTGGCCAGTTTGGGTCAGATGTTCTGGCTGTGTCCCCTCCCAGCTTCTTGTGCGCTTCTGGCTTTCTCAGTGGGTAGAGCATGAGAAGCTGAAAGTCCTTAACTTAATGTAAGCACTACTTAGCAACAACTAAAACATCAATTTGTTGTCAGCATGATTCTCATCTGAAATCCAAAACACAGCACTACACCATCTACTAGGAAGAAAATTAACTCTATCCCAGCCAAAACCGTGGCAAGATTACAGAAAATGTAGTTTTTATTACTCTGGATTACAGAAAATAGTGGATGGTAGGTTCAAACAACCAAAATGTGTTACTGTGGAGAACTTTTTGCTGGAAAACCTTGAAAACTTAAATTTACAGGAGTTTGGGAAGCATTGAGAAAAATCTGTTGAGGGCATTAAATATAAACATATTTGGTTAATGAAATTCATGAGCTACAGATTACTGGAGGCTAGGAAAAGATCCACAGGAAATAACACTTGATTGCCCCATTTTTATACTATGCCTTAGGGATCTGCTGTTGAGCAGGGCTGGAGACAGATAAAGTAGATTGCATGAATCTTTGGTCCTACCCTGTACGGTCATGCTTATGTTTGTATAAATGGATAGTGGTTATAAAGTAGCTTAATAGTTAACATACAGAATTTTCTCAGCAATAGTGCCTGAGAAGTGAGTATCATACAGGAGGAGTTTAAAAAGAGTAGAGGAATGGGTGTGTAACAAGACAGTGTACTAGGGGGCAATGAACAGAGAAGAAGATTCTGTGTGGACAGGCTAAATCACCTGTATTTATTTTGCCAGACAGAGTGCCTTTGGGTCAGCACACTGATAAAGTTTCGTCTGTCATTTTGGAGACAGTGATTTGATTTTCTCTTACTTTATTTCTCTAGCTTGTCTTTCTGATAGCCATTGTTATGTGCTGCCTAACCCTTTTGCTAATAACAGCGTGAAGTAACACATGGCCTTTTCTAGTCCTGTTCTTCACTGTCCTTTATTCAAGAAGAGGAGTTTGTTCTAGCCAGTGGCTAAACGAACGGTCCAATTTTACCCTTTGTCTTGTGGCCACAGAACTGCATAATGCCAAATGCTGCCAGTTCTAAACAGTAACAAATTTTTGTAAGATTAAATTTCCTATTGAATATTAAGGCCCTTTAAAAGGAAATTTTATATGAATAGGGACTATAATACTCGAACCAGAACACACAAAATTCTGTCACTGTAGCACTTGGACATTTTTAATTTGCTTTAATTTTTCTTTTTAATTTTTTACAATACAAAGTGCTCGAGTAAATAAGCCTTCACCTTTTTTACTAACCTACTTCAGTATTTCACTGAACTGCTGAACAAAATATGTATCCAGTTCTTACTGAAGTAAGCTAGTAACAAGAATGTTTCCTAAGAACTCACTGTGATGATCCCTGGTTGAATAAGGTACAGGAGCTGCAGCTGAACAGAACATCATGCTCACCACCAGGCATTTTGATAACTGGCAGTAAAACATGTAGAAAATGGCAAGCTCACCTACAGTAATTATGTCTGGTCTCAACAGCTGCAGATACCAGCTCATTATAGATCATTATATACGGACCTAGTATTGACTCTGCTCGACTGCAAAATAAGCTAAATAGGATGAAAACACCCAGTAATGCAATAACTAAGGAAATGAAGCACTTTTTGAATGACTAAGAATAGTTGTTCAAGCATCTGCAGCTTGCCTAAGAATGGAGTTCTGTTTAGGCAATTGGTACTATTGCTTACATGAACACACATAATGGCATTTTTTACACTTTTTACCCATCTATGTATGATTTTATATTACAAAGTATATTTTTAAAATATCTAAAAAATTCTCTATAAACAGTTCAAAATCAATTAGCTTAATATCTTTGATTATGTGACATCTATGGTGAATTGGAGACAGTGTTTCATTTTAAGAGACATCATTTACAGCTTACATGAATTTCTTCATGCTGAAAGAGAAGCAAAGTGTGTTTCTGGAATCTGTTCACTTAAGGATGGCTTTCACCAGGCTGATCTTTCACATTTTCTGCAGCAGCAAACAGTAACCAAGTGTATTCCCCCCAAACGCGTATAGGATCCAGCACTAGACTTATCCATATGTGTAATGGAGCACAACACAAAAAAATTTTGAGCTAGCACCAGTCCATTTTCTGGTGACATGCTTTATTTTGCTCTATTCCTGTCTTTGATTTTTGGTGATAATTGTTTATAGATCTGAGGGTAGAACTCATTTGCAGATCAATAAATTCATAAAACCAACTCAATGTACCTGTAGTTTACAGATTACACACAATGATTGTTTTTCTCTTTTCTTCTGATTTCAAAGACAGATTAGGCTATCCAATAGTTTTTCTTTCTTTAAATACTTTGGTGGCCTCCTAACCAGAGCAATTATACATATCTAAAAGACGTGTACTCTTATATGACAGACTGCTTAGCAGTTACTAGCAACAGAGTTCTAATAAAAGTTACAGACCTAGTCAAAGTATATGTTGTGTCATTTAACTAATGGATGTTTGCACTTGTTTTTCAAATGGAATACTAATTATTTCTGTAAACTGTACAAGACAACAAGTAACACTGAATGACTATTTCAGGCATCTTTCTGTGACACAGTGAATCATCTCTTCAGACTTATTTTGCTTTTAAAATCAGTGTTAGTCATATATCACCAGTTTAGAATGATTAGCTTGTGAAAAAGATGGCTACAAACTGTTTGAGATGGACATGTATTTATTGTTTTTCCATACTGAAGACTAAGAAGCCTGCACAAACTTTACTTAAGTTTTCATTGTAAGCACACTGAGGTCAATCTTAACATTTTGTTACCCTTCAGTGCTTGCAACACGAGAAAATTAGGATGTTGCCACACACTAACTTCCAGAATAAATGTAATATGCCAATACTGTATCCTCAATGTCAGTTGCACAGTCAAAATTCTTATCTGGAGGAAACAGTATGATTAAGTTGCTTGTAAGGATGAAAACAAATCCAGAGAATGATCTAGTCCAAACAAGAAAAATCAAGACCTTCAGATTTGGAACATTATGTTACAGAAAAAAACCCAAGAACCAAACAAAAAAGGATTAATCCCACGTAATGTTAGAGAAAAAAAGGCATCTCAATGCTCCAGTTCCCTTTATTACCAATAAGCAGAGACAGGCACCTCAGAGGGCAATGCAGATCTGAAGGGAACTAAATCACCACATGGAGGTCTAAGCTTCTCTGCCCTTCTGTTTTGATTATATCAGGAGCCTACAGTGGCAGTCCTCCAAGAAAGATGCCTAGCATTAAGTAGGATGAACTTGAAGAGTGTTGGTGGATTATGTAATATAGAATAAAATGTGGGGTTTTGGGTCTACGGTTCTTTCTGTGATGTTATGTTTTGTTGCACAGCATTCTCAGTGCTTCGGCCCAGTCTCCGTTTATGATTTAGATAGATTTTTCTGCATTCAAAAATAGCACAAAAGTAAACTGCAATTGTGTCATTTAGTTTGATCAAATCCAATGATTCTAAAGTGGTAAAGCACATGAAGTCTCAAGATCTAATGGACTAAACAGGAGTTGCAGAATTTAAATCCCAGAATATTATAGAACATTAATTGAAAGTTCTAAGTAACTGTAAATAATACAAAATAAATTATTCAGCTATTACAAGAATCCCACAAAGTATTAAAATAATAGCGGATGTGCTTTTCTTTCTCTGAAATAAAGCAGATCTGTCAGGAACTTGCTTGTTTCAAACAAAAGTTCTCTATTTTCTGTTTTGAAATATTTGTATGCAGTGCTCTCTAAACATAAATAAACAGCTCTAGAAGTAGGCCAGGTAGCACATGTAGTACCTTACAAATCCATTGTACCAACTTCCACCCTACTCTTGTCCTGCTTCTGATTGCTGGAATCAGGGCAGCGTGTATGGGTAGTTTTCCTGTGAGTGCATACAATTAGAATTAAGGTCTACTTCAGACACTACCTTAACACTTCCTGAAGCAATGGAACAATAAAATAGTTGTGCAGCCACTGGAAGGTCAATAACAAAACATTTCTTAAAATATCCATTTGTTATTTGCGAGCAAATAATCTATAAATTCAATTAGAGTTTATCTGAACTATTGCTTTCTGGAAAAAACTGTGTGCATGAACACAAGAACAAC